CAGTCCTACTCCCAGATTTTTCCTGTGAAGTTCCGGGATATTGGTAAAAATGTCTACGCTCACGTAGTTGTGCTGCCACGCGGACAAAGACACTCGAGTAAGGATACCCCGGAGCCTGCTGCACGCCTCTCCTCGGGTGTCCCGACTGTCCAGCACGCAGAGGAGTCCTTGCTGTTCAGTCCTCTCCTGGTTTGTGGCAGTTTACTTTTTCTTCAGGTTATTTTCTTCCTTCGTGTAAGATTTGTACAGTTTGCAGAAGAAAGCAGGCTTTTTTAATATCTTAGCTTCCCTGGGCTTAAATGTCCCCAGCTTTTGGCTGCGTGAAGCTGGTGGGGCTGCGATGGCCGACGCCCGCACAGGGATCACGCCGGCCGGCCGAGGCTGCAGTCTGGGCGCTGCCAGACCCCGATTCCAATATGAAACAAGAGCTTCACCTGTGTTTCCTACACTCCCTTCTCCGGAATGAGGGAACGCCACGGGGATGGGTGGGCTCTGAAACGGCATCTGCCTGCCCACCCGGGTGCTCACCGGAGGCCGCAGGACGGGGGGAGGCACGGGAGCCTCGCAGTTGGCTCGTTTTCAGTCCAAGGCTCCTTTGCAGGCTCTTGCCTTTGACATCAGCTGCCAGCATCTGCAAAAGGACAAGAAGGGATCGTTTGTGCTTCCTGGCACAAGAGACTAAAGCGTAAGGGGGGACTCACGACACCAAACAAAAAAAAGAAAAATGGCACAAAGCGATAAACTTCCTCAGTTGCACCTACAAAACAAAGCGCGGCCTGGGAATGCGGAGTTTTCAAATGTACAGTAATTAAAGAAACGCGCGAAGGACCTCGTGGTGCTCTTCAGAGGCTTTCTGAGCCGTGAGGAGCTGGGCTCCTCCTGCGTGTGCAACTGCAGCTGCCTTCAGGTGATTGTGAAAATCCAAGCCCGATATTGCAACCCGTTTTTCTTCGCTATCTGTTGTTCCGCCTGAAGCGAGCTGGGTTTGAGACAGCGTCCCTTTCTGTTTGTGATTTGTTTACTTACACTGTGTAATCCACCAAGGGAGTTACCAAATAAACCTCCTGCCTGAAACCACTTGAACAACTCGGGCTTTGGCCTGGCTGCCGACCACGAAGCTCTCCCGTTCTTGCAGAGTCCTTTCTGCTTCCAAGAAACCTCCCGCCGGTGGGGCCGGCCAGGGGTGGGGTTGAGCACGTTAACAAAGAGCAAGAAGAAAGATTTGACCCTGCAGGTAAATTGTTTGGGAAGTGCCTGACGTGATGGAGGTCCCAGGTGCTACAGACTAAAAATAATTACAATAAACGAGCCGGTTCTCATCTGGGTGAAATAGCACGGCTCTATCAAAATTAATGTAGCTCATTAATATAACAATGTTTGTGCCTCAAATGTGTCTCCTGCATGTGATTTTAATGGATTTGAGGTGCCCAGCTTTAACAGTCTAAAATCAGGATTTCATTAGTAAAATCCTACAAATGAGACTAGAGAGAATTCATTTACTGTAATGTATTTTATGTCATGCCTTCAAGTGGCCTACTAAATAAGATTTCTAAATACAATTTCATTCCCATTAATGGCAAGATATTGCAGAGATTAATGCAATATATTTAAGTACCTTCTGCATTCGGCCGCGTGAAAGCATGCGTGTGGATGCTCAGCACTCAGTAGCGAAGGCAGCGGCGGCCCCAGGCAGCCGAGGCGTTCCCCGGGGCGCGTGGGCAGGTAGCTGGGGAGGAAAAAAACACGCTTCTGATTTCCAGCGTCGCTGACAAGGATGCGCGCCACGGGAAAACGACGCAAACAACTGCGACGAGCCGGCGACGATGAGGAAACCTGTGTGGACGTTCATCTGATCAGCAAAGGCACGTCAGGTCCTCGGTACTTCCAGGGAGGACGAGTTCCCTCGGGGACGGGCAGGGCTTGATGGCTTTGAAAGCCGGCAGGTATGTGTTACGCTCGCTCCAGTAAATAAAACTGAGCTGGTGTAAAGCAGCAGGAGTAGCTTCTTTTTTCCCAGCCGGGCCTTCGGTCCAGCCCTTCCTGGCGGCCCGGTGCTGCCTCGTGCAGGTACACGGTGGGGGAACCTCACCTGTACTAAACAAGGTCCACCCGCGCAGGAGGAGGAAAGCAATTCCCGGCAGAGCCGCCTCCTCACAGCCATTATACTGGGAGCGAAGAGTCATCATCTCGGGCAGCAGGAGAGAAAAGGCAGCGTGTTCGGTACATCCCAGGCAATTTGCTCTCATTGCCACGTGCCGCCTGCGAGCTCCGCAGCGGGGAAGGTGCAAAGAGGACAGGCCACGCTCGGGGCTGCGTGTCACATTTTGCCACTCTTGCGCCAGCCCACGCCGCCGGTGGAGCTGTCCCCAGACTCCTGGATCCGTTACGAGTTTTGCGCCCGGAGCGCGCAGAAACATGTATTCTGAAGTTCTTTTTCTTTAAACCCGGCTACAAACCCAGTGCGCTCCTCCCGCTCCAGCTTTTCCCCGCTGCCTCCGCGAGAGCAGCCGCAGGAGCCTGCCCCACGCCCGCCTCTAGAGATGGCAATTCTAACTTTGCTTTTTAAAAACTGAATT